GAAGGTTTCGTGGACCTCTTCTATCTATTATTACAAACAACTTCATTTCTGGACATTTATGGTTTGATTTCTTTGTATGTATGGATCACTTGGGTTGTTACCRACATCTGGTGAAAATTTCATGTCATTAGCACCTCTAGTAATATATTTACTGAGAAAAATGTTGACGTGTTCAATACTTATTTTACATGCTGTATATGTAGAACTGAACCATGAGGGTGGATCCAGCAGCTCCAGTGTCTCATGAACCTTAAAGCCTCTCTCATAAAACAAGACTGGCCATTAGTCTAATCTGGACAAAATCTTCTGCCTCTTTCTCCAAACTCTGGTCAATCTACATTTATGAAGTACTAACTATTGATAACTATTAAAACATCACATAAAAAAATAACCAGACTGTCCCTTTCACGCCTGATTCCTCAGCAGTTTTTTCAGCGACACAGAACGACACATCGGTTTTCTTAACCTGCYTTTGTTTAGGGTCTCAGTCTGCAAGAGCCTGTCTGCAGGACTGACCCCAGTCCACACTAGAGCCACAACATGTAYGTAAAAAGAGGCAAAATACAGTTTAGCATTAATGCCAATATTAAAGCATGATGAGAACAAAAACTAAGAAACACAGAGGCAACATGTTAGGTTTGTTTATTGGTAAAACACAGTTCATGTTTGACACATGATAGAAGGAAACATGTACGCAGGTCCCAGCACTCAAATACAGAAAAAATAAAATAAATAAAACAAACATACATGTAACATGAACAAAGAAAAGATAAGATCAGTGCAGGGTCATCTTCAACAGGACTGTGCAGCCCTAGTTCACACACACACATTTGTGTTTCTATCCTTATAAGGACTGTGTACTGATTCTAGTCATGTCTGTAGCCTAACCCTGAACCTAAACCTAACACCTCGGTAMATAACTAACCCTAACCCAYCCTCAATTAACACCTTAGTCCTAAACCTAACCCATCAATGTGTTCCACTACTTTTGGGACCAGGTTTTGGTCCCCAAAAGAACTGACAAGTTAGTTTGTCTGTTCCCTAAAAAAGAACCAAACACACACCTAGAAACAATGGACTACAGTGACCAGGTAACATCACCTCTACGTCATAAAACTGGAAGAACGTGTGAACTCTGTGCTGAAAGGTCTCAGCTGAGGGTGTGTGTGCAGCAGACTGGATCACTGCAGCCCTACACAGAACCAGAACTTCTCAGATGCATATATTAAAAAGCCTTCTCTTTTAGCAAAGCTGGTTGAAACATCAATATTTTAAAGCAGCAGCAACACAACTCTGTCATCTCGCCCAGAACAAGGACCCTGCACAGGAGTAGGACCCTGCAGCGGGAGTAGGACCCTGCACAGGAGTAGGACCCTGCAGCGGGAGTAGGACCCTGCACAGGAATAGGACCCTGCAGCAGGAGCAGGACCCTGCACAGGAGTAGGACCCTGCAGCGGGAGTAGGACCCTGCACAGGAGCAGGACCCTGCACAGGAGTAGGACCCTGCAGCGGGAGTAGGACCCTGCACAGGAGTAGGACACTGCAGCAGGAGTAGGACCCTGCACAGGAGCAGGACCCTGCACAGGAGCAGGACCCTGCACAGGAGTAGGACCCTGCACAGGAGCAGGACCCTGCACAGGAGGACCCTGCAGCGGGAGTAGGACCCTGCACAGGAGTAGGACCCTGCAGCGGGAGTAGGACCCTGCACAGGAGCAGGACCCTGCACAGGAGTAGGACCCTGCAGCGGGAGTAGGACCCTGCACAGGAGCAGGACCCTGCACAGGAGTAGGACCCTGCAGCGGGAGTAGGACCCTGCACAGGAG